TCTTTCTCACGCTCTCTCACTCACTCACTCTCTCTCGCTCTCGCTCGCTCTCTCTCTTTATTTCTTTTGTTTTTCTCTCTCTTTCTCGCTCTCTCTCTCTCTCTCCTTCTATCTCATACGATCTCCTGCCTCTTTTGCTCACATTGTTGGCATAAAGCTTGCGAGGTAAATTAACGAAAAATTCTAGACAACAGGCGGTTCCCTGAAGACCGTCTCTCTCTCTCTCTTTCTTTCTCTCTCTTTCTCACTCTCTCTCCCTCGCGTGCATTCTTTTTTATATATCTCTATCTCTCCCTGCGTGCCCACACCAGAGTCATTCCTATTCCCCAGCAGTCTTCTCTTCTTTTCTCTCTCTTTCTGTCTGTCTCTCTCCTTCTCCCTCTCCCTCTTTCCCCCTCTCTCCGTCTGTCTTTCTTGCTCTTTCTTCTCTCTCCGCCTCTCCCACTCTCTCCGTCTGCCTCCCTCTCTCTCTCTCCCGCTCATCTCTCTCTCTCTCTCTCTCTCTCTCTCTCTCTCTCTCTCGTTCCCTCCTTTCTCGCTCTCTCACTCGCTCTCTTTCGCTCGCTCGCTCGCGCGCGCTTTCTCTCCCTCTCTTTTCTTCACGCTTTCTCGCTCTCCCCCTTTCTCTCCCCCTCCCCCTCTCTCTCTATCAATTTCTTGCTCTCTCTTCTCTCTCACCCTCTCTCTCTCATTCGCGCTCTCTCTCGCTCTCTGTTCCTTCTCGCTCTTTTGTCTCTGCCTTTCCCTCTTTTTCCCTTTTTCCCTCTCTCTTTCTTTCTCTCTCTTCTCTCTCCGCTTCGCCCCCTCTCTCTCCGTCTGCCTCCCTCTATCTCCCGCTCTCCGCCTCTCTCTCTCCGTCTGCATCCTTCTCTCTCCCGCTCTACCCTTTCTCTCTCTCTCTCTCTCTCTCTCTCTCTCTCTCTTTCTCTTCTCTCTCTCGCTTCTCTCTCTATCTCTCTCTCTCTCGTTCCCTCCTCCCTCGCTCTCTCCCTCGCTCTCTCTCTCTCTTTCCTCTCTCTCTATCTCTCCTTCTCTTTTCTCTCTCTCTCTCGCTCTCTCGCGCGCTCTCTCTCCCTCTCTTTTTTCCTCTCGCTTTCTCGCTCTCCCCTTCTCTCCCCCTCCACCTCTCTCTCTATATATATATATCTCGCTCTCTCTCTATCTCTTTCTCTGTGCTGTTTTAACTGTGTCATATACTAAGCATGTATTGGATTTTGTCGTATGGTATATGGGACCTTGCCGTAAGCGGCTTTATTGTTGACTATGTTAGTACCGTGTGGCGCGCTGAATTTTGGATGATGTAGTGTCGGGGACGAGCACGGATTTGTAGATCCATGTTATAGGTAGTGTGTATAGCACTTTTCTGTTTTGTTATGTTCGGGAATATCTGGGCATGTCATCAGTGTACTTCAGTTCGAGTTGGAGGGGGGGGGGTGTATGACGGCGGTCTCAGAGATCTCCGCCCGTTCCTGGGGTGTGTTACCTAGCTATTCCGGAGTCATATTGTCGTATTTGGGTAACCGGGAATTTTTGAAGTGATCATGAAGAGAAACCTTAATAAGTTATTAACCATAAGCAAGTCTGAGTGTGCGTGCGTGCGGGCGTGCGTGCGTATATGTGTGTGTGGTCTGAGTGTGCGTGCGCGCGTATATGTGTGTGTGGTCTGAGTGTGCGTGCGTGCGTGCGTGCGTATATGCGTGTGTGGTCTGAGTGTGCGCGTGCGTGCGTGCGTGCGTATATGTGTGTGTGGTCTGAGTGTGCGTGCGTGCGTGCGTATATGCGTGTGTGGTCTGAGTGTGCGCGTGCGTGCGTGCGTGCGTATATGTGTGTGTGGTCTGAGTGTGCTTGCTACACGTAAATGCTTGAACGTCATTTGCACTTCCTGGTCGTTAGTTACACAGTAACAGCGATATTTTATGACTCGTATGGTTAAGGTCTTTATTTGAAACATCGGAGAAAATACAAATTAATCCCACCGAATATGCAACAAGTTTATCAAACGAACTGTATAAAATTTTAAAAATACTTGTAACAACACCGACTGGTATAATGTGGTCTATCGCACATTTTCGTTGATATAGGCTAAATAGTCAACTTTCCATGCACAGCTAACTGACAACGTTGCTTTATTACAAAAATTAAATTAAGCTAGTCCTTTCGACGATTCTACAGTGGCTAATTGAACTCCACATTATACAGTAATGTACATATTCCCCAAAGCGAAATAAGAGAAACACGGTCCACGATAGAGAAAATGGCAAGATTCCGTCCATAACGAATATATTACAAAGTAGCTGCATGCGCCTTAGAGTGCTGAGGAAATGCATTGAATATCAGACGCTGTTATTTACATTCTGTGCCAGGAGATGGCGCGAAGATCGCATCTGCGAACACTTTCCACGTGCATCATCGGCGAATTTCAAGGATTTTTCAAACGCACCAAAATAGAATCCACGCCGTGAAAGGCGCTCGACAAACATTGCCGACATGCCTTTATGCTCTCTTCGATGAAAATGTTGTCCATTAACGTGATAAATAACTAGATAAGCGCTGAAACTGTTGCCGCGTTGGCCCACCCGATCGAAAACAGTGGTAGTGTGTGTGTGTGTAGCAGCGGACAAATAACGTGAACTATATTGTCCAGTTGTCACCGCTCTCATGCTCAATCGAAAGAGAGAGCGGGGGCGTCACGCGCAATAACACACATCGTCGAGTCCCGGTCGAGCCGATAATCTAAACCACTGATTGTGACGTCACAATGAGAAATGCTGATTGTGACAAGAAAATCGAAACAGAAAGAACCCGCTTATTGTGACGTTACAGTGACGCAGCCAGTCCTGGCGTACGGTGCTCGCCTAATGGTGACAATGAACGCAGTAGTAATAGAAGTGTACTATATACGATAGCACCCTCTCACGTTAACACACTCAACATATATGCATACGACACATAATACATCCGAATGACGTTATCGCATGTCATCAGTAAAATTAACAATCGAAACCAACTTGGTCTCTATTGCATTTTTTTCTTTCTTTTTGGTTTTTTCTTTTTCATGCCGTGAGGGTCGTCTTCCTATTGCACTACCCCTCTTCCTCCCCAAACCCCATTCCCCGGATATTCTTATCACACGAAATATTATCAGGTTTCTATGACGCACTACGTTCTAAATCATCGTTAAAATCGTTAAAATCAAATGCCAGTAACCGACGACAACAGCGCTGTCAGTCTGCGGTGCTAATTTAACCTTTGACCTCCCACTGCCGCGCAGGAAAGTCGGGTTTCACTGAGTTTTAGCCGTCGGAGTATTTTAGAGAAGGCTACGGATGAAGCGGTAGACCACGCATGAAGCTGCCAGTCAGTCACCGTGAAGAATCTCTGATGCCGGGTGTGTAAACCACATAACGTCTCTTCTGAAACAGAAAGCGCAGAGTAAACGCTTTATGCCCGGTTGGCCTACTCCCATTTCGCCTAGTGCGAAATTCCGATTTCGTTTATTGGGCAAAACCCTTAGTTGGTCTACACCCATTTCGCCCACTCCCAGTTCGTCTACATTAAAAATCTACCACATTCCCATTTTGTCTACTATCAATTTGTCCATTAAATAATCATTTATAAATGTAAAATATGGTTTTTATTGGCTTACATAGACTACAGGGACCAAAAGAGAATATAGGTACACATAATGAAAATACGATTTGACAAAAATAGAAGACATCATCAATATACGCTAACCGCCAGCGTCAGTGGACTCAATTCCATTTTGCTTGCCGTTTCAAAATATCACTCGTGATTAGCACTGAGTTATTTTACATTTCGCCGCGTGCAAACTTGACAGATGTGTATTTAGAATGCCAGCTAACAGAGAGAACGATTCTAATACGATAAAATCCGATTGCTTTCGATATTAGGGAGAAACGGGGAGGGGTGTCCATTGCCAGGTTCTAAAGGGAAAAAAACCATTTCCCAGTCTCCGACAATTTCAGCTTTCCCACGTCCTACTTGATTTCGATTACCGAACACGGAAAAACATATCCAGTTCCCAGATAATAAAAATGGTATAATCCCTTTCCAAAATAACCGTCCCCTCATTTGATGCATACTCTTTATCGCGCATTTAAAGCGCAGTTTCAAACATAGTTTTACAAACGCAGAATGCGCAGCCGTAATCTCTTAGAACCGCTGTTCACTTGAACGCATATACGCGCCCTCTACAAGCTACACACGGACGGTGGCGCCCATGACGCATTCGTGACGTCACCTCCCCGTTTCCGTCAATTTGTGAACATGTTATTAACTACTACACTACCGTACTAACGAATACCGTATTTATTGAGTCTTGTCGATTTTGTGCGGCACCATGTTATCAGAGTTAATCTTCAGGTAGCCAAGACCGGTGAAGACTACGATCATGAGCGTGGCTGCAGAGATGAGGCCAATGCAAGCCGCCGCCATGCTTAGCAAAAAGTTTCTAGTCTGCAAATACAGCCAAAGAACAGCAGTCACATACGAGGCACTATACATTCACATATAAATTATATATATATATATATATATATATATATATACTATATAT